CTGTCCGGGGCGGCTCCACTTCCCCTGGGGCGCAGGAAGCCGGTGGTGCGGGACGAACCCTGTTCTCGTTTTGCAGACCTGTGCCCATGGCGCGCAGTTTCGGTTAAACGCTGGGTTTCGTTCCTGCAGGCGGGGGATGACCCATGGCGCTCTTCCCCGCTCCCTCTGCATTGGGGCTTGCCGCGGCGCACTGCCCGCCCCGGGGGTTGGCAGGCCGGCTCTGTTGGCCCTCGAATTTGTTTGCTTTTAATTTTGAAACTTCATTTTCCTTCCGTTGGCATTAAAGCAGTGCGGCCGCGGGGTGAGCATCTGAGCGAGGGCTGCCAGGCATTGGTGTGAGGTCCGGACGCCCTCGGCCGTTGAGAATAAGCCCGCGCCAGTGGCGGTGGAAGGCCTGGCGGGGTAACGAGCGGGAGCGTGGAGGGGAGGAAGGATGGAAGAGGACCGCAGCAAGCACGGGAGGATGGCAGGTGTCCATGGGAGCTGTGTGCCAGGTGTCCCTGTGGATGAATGCTCGCAGCAGGCCCTGGGACAGACCAGGCTCCGACTCTGGCTGCTGTAACGCGCTTGCCGTAAGCAGCTCCTCGCGCGTCTGGGGCAGGCAGAAGACTTGGGAAGAGCTGTGCAGCTGGTGAGATGGGCTGCCCGAGCCCTTCGCCTGTCCCCACTGCGGGGTGCTCATGTCCAGGGAGCGAAGAAGGTGCGTTGAAGGCCTCGGACCAGGAGCTGGCGTGGCCCCGGCACTGTGCTGTTTGGCCCTGGTATCACAGGGACCTCCTGCCACGCAGCAAGACGGGCCCGAGCCGAGGACACGTGAGTCCTGGGCACTGCTGGCAGGGATGGCCGAGTGCGGCTCCCCTGGCTGGGCCGGACCTTGGCCACCACTGCTTGTTGGCCTTCATCCTTCGCAATGCTCTGCCCAGACAGCCTCCCCCGTGCCCCGCTCCCCCAGCCTGCCCGCCCTGCTCTCATCGTGCTGGTCACTCTGAAGGCCGAAGAAGTCAGGATCTGGCGGTGGCCAGTGGGTCCGGTGACAACCTCTCTGAGACACCGCGCAGCGCCTGGCTCCACATCGCCGTGCTCCACGTCCAGCCCTAGGCAGGGCAGTGCTGCGGTGAAACATGCCTGGTGCAAGGAGCGTGGGCCTGGACCTCTGTGGGTGCCACCTTCCAGACCCCGGCCCTGCAGCGACCTTAGCCCTTGCTGCATCTCGGAGCCCATCTCCCCTGTCCGGCCGGCTCAGCAGGCCAGGGGCTGCGCGGTGTGAGAGCCCGGCTGGGATCGAATGGGCCCAGCCGGCCGCTCTGGAGCCAGCAGAAAACAGCCCTGTCCGTCTGGTGCTGGGTGCTGCTGCCGGGTCCCCCTCGCCCTCCCAGCCAGCATTGTGTCTGACTCAGCCTTGCCATGGCGGCGCAGAAAGCCCCGTTTCCTCTGCTCACAGCCTGTGCCACTGCTGTGATAAAAGGGCTTTGTGTGAGCTGTGACAATGTGAGGATTGATGCGGCTCCTTCCCCCCACTGCCGCACTGTGAGTCAGACGCCCACAGAGCCGCTCTGCCTTGGTGGCACCTCAGTGACAAAGGCACCTTTCTCCCTGTCATCCAAGGAGGGCAGGTTTGTGTCAGCCGTAATGGAACGAGCAATGTACCTCCATGGAGCTATACCCCAGGGCACAGCCAGCAACTCTTGCCTGTGCTTCAGCCCCCTCCCTGCCTCTGTCACGCTTGGCACTTTGTTCCTGGGCTCGCGGAGGGGCTGGCGCTGCCCCTTGAGTGTTTCAGCTCCAGGCCTAGTTTGTAGCAGCCCATCCCAACCCTCAAGTGTAGGCGGCGATGCTCTGTTGGCAGTACCAGCCTGACGGAGAGCGTGCCCTTCAAACGAAGGAGTGCCAACCTCGTCTGCATGGGCTGTCTGCCCTTGGCACAGTGGTGCTAGCACAGAGCCCTCGTGTGAGTGACCGGTGCAGCCCACATGATCCATACTGGGTAGGGCAGCTACGGCGCGACTGCTGTCCCAGCGTGGACAGGCCCACGGAGACGCTGGTGTCCAGGATGCCTGGTGTTTCTCTCCTGCTTTGGCAAGGGCCCCCCCCGGTACCCGGCCAGATCACTTCCCATCCAGAATCCTGTGAGCAGCAGTCCCCTTGCCTGCTCCCAGCCATTCCCCTGCTCCTTGAGAGCAGGATCCTTGATGACCTTACCCCAGGGCAGTGCTCGTGTGCCCTGGCGCCAGCCCGTGTAAGCCATTGCGCAGGCAGCAGCCTTGTCATTGGGCTGCTGGATCCCAAGCAGGGCATTTGGAGAGGCATGCTTGGAGGCAGGGCTGCAGCTCTCCTTCCCCTTGAGTGGCTGGGCCTTGGGCACAGCACGTGCCGTGCTGCTCTTAGCCCCAAGGCAGTGGTAGATCTGCCCCCCGCATAGAGTTGGCCCTGGGTTTTCTCGTGAGGAGGCCTTGTGGTGGCCTACAACTTGCACAGCCAGTTGCTGGCTCTAGAAATTGGCGGAGGCTTGGGAGCAGCTGGGAGACGGGAGTTATTTTTGATCCTGTACCTGTGAGAGCAAGTATTCTGAACCGTTGACTTGTGAGTGAGGGCCTGGGGGATGCTGAAAGTTGCTCCTGAGGTATGCTGCAAACTCGAGTTCAGCTCTACCAGACCCTGTGGCCCCAGGCAGCCCCGGTGATTCGCAGTGTCCGATCGGTCCCAGGGGCCTACGGCTTTCTGGGGCTTCTTTTTCATAGGAAAATCCCATGAGCAGTTTCCACCACGTCTGACTGGCTGCAGCAATCTTCCACCACTGCAGCGTAAACCTCAGCTCCCTGGGAAGCTGGATGCCAGGGCAGCCAGCGTGTCTGGGGCTGCATCTCCCAGTGGCTGTGGAGGTGAAAGAGCTCTAAGCATCTTGAGATGCATTTCTGTGCTGGCTGCTTAGACAATGCTGGGAAACTCGGAAGGGAAAGAAAAGCTGGAGGGGGTGGGTGGATGTCGACCTTTCCACACCCTGCCCCAGGAAGGGGCGCTGCGTGGGACTCGGCCGCACCCCTGCAACTCAGGTGGGCGAGAGGGACCCTGCATCTCCCAACTTGCATGTGCTTGAGCCGTAGGATGAGCGCTGTGTTTGTGTGAGGAGTTGTGCTAAACGCTCTGGTTGTAGGGGAGCTGGCTGGAGAATGGCAAATGCTTTCAGCATTCAGGTTCAGTGTGCATTTTCCAATCTGTCTGTGGGTGCCACAAGGTAAATCGGAGATCTGGAGGATCCTTCCATTGCAGTATGGCAGCAGGAGATGTGATGTCTGACGCTGGGGGGTGTTCTGGGCTTGCAGAAGCAAATCGTGCTATTTGTCACCTGTCAGTTCCCTTTGCTGTGGATCTAGGTCACTAAGCCACCTGGGACAGGATTTATCAGAAATTCGTTTGAAGTAAAGGTCATGTATTGTTGTTTAAGTTCGAATGACAGTATTTCAGGGTCACAGAATTTGCGCCTTCCATTGGTGAGCGGTTTATTGCAAAGCCTTTGAGAAGCAGCAGGCTGCAGACTTTGCCTGGGAGCAGGTTAGTGTCTGTGCTAGAGGAGCAGTGCCCGCCGGCCACAGGGCGCCTGTCCCATGGCTCGTCCAGGCTGACCGCGGGAGGGCGTGGAGTCCCGGTGGGCAAGGGAGGTAAAACGTCAAGGGCTGAAAATGCAAATTCCTATTTTCCAGGTTGCTAGGAAACAAAGCGAGCTGCGCCTTGGCTTGACTCCATGCTTGCCGGGAGCTGGAGCAGGCGATGGAGCAGAGCTCTTCCCTGATGCCAGCCCAGTGGCACTGTCTTCTGTGACACTGTCCAGGGTCCCTGCTCCTGCGGTCGGGAGCGCGCATTAGACAAGCGTGCTCGGTGCAGCTTGCTCAGGCCCCAGCGGCGCATGTTGCCTGCAGCGAGGTGTTGCTCTGACTGAGTGTTGCGAAGCGTAGGGTACGGCTCCTTCTGGCACCAGTACTCCTCGCCTTTTGTAGAAGCAGTAAGTAACCAGTCATCCTTGGCCTGAAAGGTGCTGGGTGCGATGGCTGTGCAGCTGGGCCTGCCTCTAGGTAGCTCTCCTCCTCGGCTTCCCTGGCTTCCCTGGTGTGCTGTGCTCCCTCCCTCGTGCACTGAGCACGGCCCTCTGTGCTCCAGGCATGGGGCGGTTTCCTGGTGCATCCTTCCTTCCTGGGAGCGAGGGCGGACGTGCCTCACGTACTTAGGCAGCAGCATCCCTTCCCTGCCCTGGGCAGGCTCTTCGCCCCCTGCCTGGCTGGAGCTCTCCCCACAGCTCCCTGCCTGAACCCTGCCCTGCTTTCTGCACCAGCAGCTCTGCCAGCCCGCAGTCCCCAGCACCCTCCCTTTCCTCCTTGACAGCGCTCCCAGGGCCACGCTGTTCTGGAAGACCGGTGCATGCTAGCTGCGTCTGTGCCATTTCCTTGGCACCTGCCCTGCCTCTGGGGTGCAAGCTTGTGGGGGAGGGAGGCACTGTGTGCTGGGTAGGAGCCCTGCTGGCTGTATTCTGGCCATGTGCAGGCAGGAGCAAGGAAGGGCTGGAGTCCCCTGGTAGAGCCCCCTGCGTGCCTGACAGAGCTGGGAAGGGAAACCTTAACACACAGCCGCTGGAAGCAGCTTCCACCCTGCCTGAAGTGGCTGAGTCACCCCACCCGCCAGAGGCCAGGGGTGCAGGGTGCTTCATTTGGGGCATGCCCTTCAGTTCTCTTAGGGCCGCTGGGGGAGCCCTGCCCTGCCCAGCCCAAATGCTCCGGGAGCAGGGAGGTTGAGCTCAGGAGAGGCTGTTGGCACTGGTTCCAGCCCTGTCAAACATGGCAGAGCTGTAACTCATTAGAGGCAGACGCCACCACGGTGCGGAGGGTGTGCCTGGCCGGGCTCTGGGTTTGGTTTGACTGTCAGTCGCGGCATTGTAGCCTGGGCTCGTTGGCAGGCTTGCAGGCTGCGGCAGGGGCTGTGGGAAGGTGCTGCCCCACAGCCCCCTAACACTGTTTCCCTATTTCAGGATCAGTCCATGATGCCTGAAGTCCGTGACCTTTCAGACGCCTTACCCGACCTGCCGATGGACCCAATCACCGGAGTCGGGGTGGTTGCCTCCCGGAACCGGGCACCCACAGGTTACGACGTTGTAAGTAGAGGCCTTTCCAGCCCCACCCATCATGCTGTTTGCTGGTGTTTATTGTGCAGAGAAGCATCTTTCTGCCAGCCCCCTGTTATGCTCTGCTTCAGGGGGGCGTTGGGCATGGGGGTTTGTGCCCTGCCACTCTGCTCAGGGCCTGGGCTTTGGGAGCATTTTGGGCAGCACTTTCCCCCCCACCAAAGTTGGTGGATGCAGGCATGTCACTCCATCCACTCCACTTGTAGGAGGCTAATAGCCTGGAGGAGGGGATCCAGAAGCAGCTGGCCAACATGGCGTGCAGATTTAAGGAATCCTAAATACTTCTCGGATTATACCCACCATAGAAACAAATCCCACATCAGGTGTCTAACACCATGCGCACCTGCCCTGCCCAGCACTTCAGGATGAAATGCAGCCCCCGCACCCAATGTTGGCTGGAAGCTGGGAGGTGGGCACAAGTGCTGGGGTACTCTGGTGGGTGCCACTGCAGTGTCCAAGTGGGCAGCTTGATGTGGGCATTCAGCAGCTGCTTAACCCTTGGAGTGCATGGGCAAATGCCTTGTGGTCATGGTGAGGCTTTTTCCTGAGGCTAGTGATCCAAACCAGGGAGAGAAGCTGTGAGCCTGCGCTGGAGACCTGGCTGCACTGTCAGGTCAGCCCAGCACCATGTCGAGAGCTCATCCACTCTCCCATCCTCTGCTGTCTTGTCTCCTTCCATGGGCCCAGATCAGCAGTCCCTTGAGGTCGCCATGAGAAATGAAACCTCGTTAGAGCCCTGGGCAGGACAGGAAGCAGGTCCCTAAGCCAAGCAAATCCTCCCCTTGGGCAGCCCAGAGCTGACTTGGCCCAGCCCAGAGTGTAGCCGTTGGGTAGGAACATGCAGCTCAGTGCATTTGCTTGGCTTCATGCATCTGGGAGAGTTGAAGAGCTGTGGAAAGTCTGAAGCGCCCAGAGCCAAATGGTGTGTCTGGGGCAACACATGCTCACATTGGCTGGGCTTGGAGGAGCCCCCAGCAGGGTGAACTGGGGCCAAGGCGTCTGAGAGGGCTCGCTGGTGATCGCGTCTGTTGCTGTCACATGGAGGGGGCGGGAGCAGCTCCACTTGGCGTGATGGGGGCTCCTGAAGCCAGTGGGATGTTAACACTGGCTGCCTTCCGCTCTGTGCTGCATTAACTAATGAAGCATAATCCACCCCGTGAAGGTGAGCAGCCCGGGCAGGGAGCAGAAGCCTGCAGGGGGGCAAGTAGACCCTGTACAGATCCACACAAGGCCTGACCTGAACCCCATGCACCTAGGCAGGGAGCCTTTCCACAGTCTTGAGTGGGCATTGGGTGCTTCACAGTGGGTGGCAGAGCCGAGAACAGATCTGCAGGAGTCAGGGCTCCCAGCACTAGCTGGAGCAGCCCCGTGGCAGGGGCAGGGTGCTATGTCTGCCCCGTGGCCACTGGAGCAGGGCCCGCACTTGCTCTGCTTCCCAGCATCAGCAGGAAAGCCAGTCAGTGTGGAGGCTGCCCTGCGTGACCCCAAAAGCAAGGCTGGGCAGGAGGGCACCTGGGTGGGCTGTGGGAGATGCGGCAGTGACGCAGGGGCCTGCTGGGTCAGAGCCTGGGGGAGCGGTGTCCAAGCCCTCGTGCTGTGGCAGGGCAGCTGCCGCAACACACATGGCTTCCCCATCAGGCGCCAGTGGGAGCCATCGCTGCTAGGGACAGCGAGATTCACCTGCGCAGAGTAGCCGGGGCCTGTTCTCGCCCACCTGCACCCAGCTCTGCACTGCTGCATGCAGCTGCCGGTAGGGCTCATGCCTCAGGACTGGCGCTGCGCTCGCAGCCAGCTCCCTGCACGAGGTCCTGGCACGGAGAGCATGGGCCACCTTGTGCTGAGGGCAGCCAGGGGCTCCTGTGGTGTCAGGCTGGGCTCAGTGGTGACTTGGGGCAGGGCTTCCTTTCCAGCATCCCACGTGGCTTCACCCTTGGTCGTGCCCTGGCTGACGTGGCTGTGAAGGATGGGCTGTGGGGAGGTCTTTCCTGCTGGGTCTGTGCTAAGCTGCGCACAGCATTCCTGCATGGCCGGCCATGGGCTGGGCACTGAAGGAGTGCTGCAGGCCAGCGCCCAGGCGATGAGCCAGGGGAAGAGGAAGCGTTCAGTTCTGGTAGGAGATTGAAATGAGCAGGATCCCTGGGGAAGCCTGAAGGCTTACCCTGCATGTGAGAGCTGCCTTTTTAGGAGCTTCCAACGGCTAACCAAGTCCCCCAAGACTATTTAAAAGCCTCATTTCATGACTTCCTGGGAAATGAACGCTTGCCTCTGGTAGCAGTGTGAATCATTAGATTCATAGATGTTAGGGGCTGGAAGGGACCTTACAAGATCATCGGGTCCAGCCCCGTGCACTTGGGCAGGAAAGACCCCAGCAGTCGTCTAGCGTGGGACTGGCACCTGCAAGGGGGTTATGCCCCCTTAGGGGCGTAGGGCTCCCTGCTTCATGAGTCGTTGGCCAGATTGCTGCCTCTCTTCTGGGACGCTGGCTCCCCGGGGCTTGTGCTGGCCAGTCTCACAGGAGTTGCATCAAACTTCACTGTCCTGTCTGTGTCTGAAAACCGGGCTTGCTGCTCTTTCAAGTGAGGCCCATGTTTCCTATCCCTGCCAGATTAGAGGGAAAACTGTGTTTGGTCCCCCTTCACATACAGATGCTTTCACTGTTTCCCAGCTGTGACAGTGGTCCCTGCTGTGTGTGAAGAGCTTTCACGTGGCAACGAGAGGAAGAAAAACATCCATCTTGGGAAAAGGCAACTAAAAGTGTGTGGGTGGGCAGAGGGGCTCGAGTCTGGGGCAGCGCCTCGGTCTGCAGGCATGGACTGAATTTCAAGTGTCCCTTAGTGTCAGCATTTGCTTCTGTGAACTGTTCGAGGGGGTGGTGGATCTGCTTGCACCAGGACTTATTTGTGTGTACGAGGGGTTGCAGGTGCTCCATGGATTAGATAACACCCCCCTACACCACCTCCTTAAAAATACATTTGGGTTGAATTTGGGAAGCTCAAGTAGCTTTTTAAGAAGTCTGAATTTAGTGCGACTTTGTTGCCATGGGCTGTGCTGAGCAGAGTTTGAAAGGCGTGTGCATGTCTGTGCCTGGTGTGTCAGGCAGTGAGCGAGGGGCCGTGCGGTGACCTTTGCTCCCCTGGGTGGTAGGGTGGTCAGACCTTCCTGCCTCATGCTTTGGGGCAGATGAGGGTTTCCCTGTCAGCCCTTGGCTCCCTATCTCTCTGCAGGGTACTGCTCTGTGCCCAGCCCCTGTGCTCAGAGGTATGTGGGGAAATGAGCAAGTACATGGTCCTCTGTGCCGAGGGAGGCTTCCTACATTACGGCAAAGCCTTTTCACAGGCGATGCTGTGGCCTGCTGGGGATTCACTAGGGCTGGAGGAAGGGGACCCTGTGCGGCCTGGTGCTGCTGCCTGCGCCGGGGGGCAGGGGCAGGGCCAAACCCATTCAGGGGACAGGCTGTAGGTGTGCTGTCCTGGGCAGGTTCAGCCCCTGTAGCTGCCAGTGGGGGCGGGGGCTCCTCTCCGTGTGCCGGGAGACAGGTATTGATTTAGCTGCTGATGTTCTTCTGCCACGGGGCCGTACGAGCCAGCACAGTCTGGGCAGCATCCGTGTGCCCATGTGCCACGCTGGTGCCAGGTTTAGCGCACGTATCTCTGCCTGGGCGCTCCTCGGTGCCATGACTGGACATTCCTGCGGCCGGATTCCTGACCATGGGCTTGGGCAGTTTGGGACACGCACTTCAGTTCTCAGTTTGTTTTCCTTGGCACTGGGTTTCCAGCCCTCACGCGATTACGCTGGTTATCTGCTCCAGACGTCAGGGCTGGCATTCCTTCGCAACAGGTGCTTGCAGCAGCGCCAACTCTGGAGGCCCTGAGGACACTTCATTTTTTGGAGATCTTGGAGCTGCTGCTGGCTCTTGTTGCACTGACAGCACCAGGCGTCTGAGGGGCTGTTGCTTTGCTCCAGGGTCCAGGTGTTGCCCCCGCCAGCGGTGTGGCTGCTGCCAGGGGAGCTGTGCTGAGTTCCTCACAGTGTTATGCCTATCCCTTGCTGGCCTCGCTCACTCGCTTCAAGAACAAATAAATTGCTTGCCTTCAGAGCGACGCCTGCTAGAGCCACAGGTCTTGTCTAGACTTGCCATGTCTCCGCGTTGACTCGGGCGCGCAGAGGAAACAGCGAGCCATTCCCACGCTTCGCCTCTCCTGCAGGCTCGCTCCGTGCCGGGCCCACCTGCCCTGCTGGGGGTCCCTCCCACCTCGTGGCCCGAGCAGCACATGGCGGCCGACTGGCACCAGCAGCCGGGCTTGCCCATGCGCTGCCACCGGTTCTGTCTCAAGCATGTGGGAAGGCTGATTCCCAGCCTTTCCCCTGGCGCGCGCCGGTCCCCCTTTCCCTCCGGTCTCTGGGAGAAAGCTCTAGCCAGGCGCTTGTCTTGGGCCTTTCTCCAACTGGCAGCTCAGGCAAATGACTTGGCTTTAATTGTGGCTGTTCAGCATAGTAAAGGAGATTACAGCTCCCTCCCAACACGCAAGTTTAGCTGAGAGGATTGTTCTTGGCGGGAACAGATTGTTGCAGGAGACGAGCTTGATTTAAGGTGAGGTTTCAGGGCTTGATTCGTGCTGGCATTTTCCAAGGGGCACCTGAGAGGATGTTTGTCTTCACATTTGCTCCCTTACATGTTGTTCCACCTTTCCCTTGCATCTTGGGGCCTGCCTGCTCTACGGTGCCCTCTCTCCTGTCTCAGCCTCTACCAAGCCAGGCCATCCCCCTGGCTGCTTCTGTTCCCCTTTCCCTTCCTCTGTCCTCAGCCGCCCCTGGCATGCCTGCCCTCCCTGCTCCAAGTGACCGGCAGGCTGGTGGCTGCCGGTGTCAGATGCACCGCACGGTGACTAGCAGCCGGCATCCCCTGCAAGTTCGGTCCCAGGATGGCCCCCCATGCTGCTCCATGGCTGCACCTTCCACTGCCAGCCGTGTCAGGGACTGACCTGCAGATGGCAGGGTTGGTGTGCTGCACGGGCCAGCGTCACCCAGCCCCAGGCTCAGGGGCTTAGCACGGGACAGTCTGGAGCACAGCGCGCCCAGGAAATGCTGGACCGGCACTGTCTTGGGCTGTGATGCTGGCCAAGACAGTGTCCTGCCCACTTGTCCTAAAGCCCCTGGGCGCCCTGAGTTGCATAAGCCGTTCGCCTGCGTACATGCTTCCTTGGCTCTGTCGCTTTGCTTGCAGCTCTCTTGTTCATCAGAGTGGCCTCTCTGCATGGACCCGTCGCGTGCCCACACGAAGGAAACAGTGGGCTGCCTCCATGTGAGTATCGGCCCAGCACCTGGGTCACGGGCTTCTCTGGAGATCCTGGTGATCCGCTCCTCCCTGGCTGTCAGGTGCCATCGTTGTTAGGGCCTGAATTTTTGTTTCTCTCCCAAACCCCTTGGGACAATGTCCGTCTGGGTTTGGAAGCGTTCCCTGAGGTGTGGAGCTCTGTGCCTGTTCCCATAGGAAAGCCCCAGGTTCCTCTCTCTGCTGGTAAGAGGGGCTTCTGGTTTGAACAGAAGTGAAAGGGCGGATCCTTCGTTGAGGTGTGCTGGGAGTGGATAAGCCAAGCCAGGTGTGCTGGAAGCAGTGCACCCCAGGCTGCATGACTCAAGGCAGGCAGCAAGTGTAGGCCATCTCGTATGGTGCAATGGTGGTTGCTCCAGCTGCAGAGATGAGCCACCTGTGCAGAGCTAGGAGACTTCAAAGGAGAACCAGGAATTCCAGCCTGAAGCAGGCGCAGCTGAGCCCCTGGTCCATTTTTCAGGGTGAAGATGGCTCGGGTGCTAGCACGGCTGGCCTTGCTTTGGGAACAGGTGGCTCCCCTGGGAGCGCTTTGCATGTAGGACCCATGTTCCCAGCCGCGAGTTCTTGTGTACATCTAAACGAGTATTTCCTGCTCTAGGGGCATCCAAAGTCCCCATTTTCTTAGCAGCCAGAATTGCTGGGCCATGATTTAATGGGGATGCACTTGCTGTAGCGTTGTGGCCCGGCTTCTTGCAGTGTTCCTGCTGGCAGGACAGAGCACCTGCTCAGCCTCCCTGCCTGTTGCTGGGGGCTCATCACCTTGGAGAGGACAATTTCTTGTCTCATCAAAACAGCCCTGTGCCCCTGGCTTGCAGGACCAGGCCCCCTGCATGCATGAGTGGAAATGAGCGCCCAGATGTGCTGACTCCAAACTGCTGCCTGGTCGTGCTCCACAGAGTTACCGTGCCCTCATTAGAATAGCTTTTGTCAGGGTGTCTTTAATCAGTTGCCTTCTCAGAGACCATGTGTTGAGGAAGGGGGTGTTTTGTTTGGGTCTGTTCTTCCTCTTGGAAATTCCCAGCATTGCACCTTATGAAACAAACTAGAGATGTCCAGGGCAGCATTCATTAGGAGGGGCCTGAGGAACCTGTGCCGCACACAGCAACGGTATCCTGCTCACATGTCCCCTCTCTCCCTCTGTCCAGGTCTCACAGACGGCAGATGGCCTGGATGCCGACCTCTGGAAAGACGGCTTGTTTAAATCCAAGGTCACACGATACCTGTGCTTCACCAGAGCATTTTCAAAAGAGAACGTAAGTGTTTGCCAAGTGCCAGCGTGCGATGCGTCTCGGCTTGGCATGTTCCTTGCCCTCGTGATTCACTTCAGGGAGCTCGTGTGGTTGAGGCAGGTGTTTTGCCAAGTCGGGGTGAGTTGGTAGGAAAGCCCAAAGATCTAATCCCTGTGGCTTAAGTTATTCCTCCTCCTCACCTGCCACTTACCCTTATGGAAGGCAAATCCCAGCCAGTTTTGCTGCAGTAGAAGCACACAGAAATCCCTGGGCCTGTTTCATGGTTTGCCACCCTGCTGGCACTGCCGCCCCGCGTGGCATTGCAGAAGGCAGTGCTGCCAGCATCGTTCAGCCACTGGCTTGGCAGGGACAGCAGGCACAAGGCTTTTGCCCTGGAGGAGGGTGTGCCCGGGCTGACCAGTCTCCAGGCCTGGGCCCTGCCCCATTCCCCAACAGGATTCCCTCACCTTCGCTGCTTCATGCTTGTTCTTGGAACATTTGCCCACATCTCTTGGCAGCTTTTGCATGCATCCTCCACTTCCAGTGTAGAGACACAGCTTGCACCTATAGGCAGCAGCTGCCTGCCTGCCTGCCTGCTTCTCCTGTGAGGAAGAGGAGCCCATGTCCCACCAGTGTGTCCTGTGGAGGGTGTCTCTGGGACAGGGTGCTATTGGGAGGGGAAGGCATGTGATTTGATGCCTTGTGTTGGCTTGGGATGTTTGTCAGCCGAGTATAATACAAACACTTAGCATTTCCAGGAGAAGATGCTTAATTCTACCTCCAGTCCTAAAACCCTATGACAACAATAGCCATAGACCAGGTCAGGAGGATGTTAAACAGGAGGATTTATGATCACTTGAATATTCAGTTTATCTACGGCTACCTTAAACACGAGGCTGTCAGAAGTAATTACAGGACAGTAGCATGCGCTGGCTACCAGAGACGATATAAACGCCCTGAGTCGGTGCCTGTTGGGCTCTGGTCATGAATCATTTGCTCAACGAGGTTTGGGAATACGTTTTTTCTGTTTATGAGGTGCACGTTAAAGGGAGTGTGCGGCAGGGAGGATTGATGGGGTCTTCCTGCCGGCACTGCCAGCTCTGCAGCGAACAGCTGACTGACATGGGGCTTGGCCCTGGTTAGCTGCCCACAGCCCCCTTCCAGGTGCACTGGTTTGTCTTCAGGCCATTCGAGTTGTGCGGTCAGGGCCACATGCTAGCATCCGGCCTCCCTCCATGTTTGCGGGACACTGGATAAAACTCTCCCTGGTGTTAATCATCCTCACTGTCCCCCAGGTGCTGAGGAGTTGCCTCTGTCCCTTCTGACAGCGCATCTCACAAGTGCTTGTCAGCCTCTGTCACAAGCCCCTGTGGACCCCGCAGGCTGTGCTGAGTGGGACAGTTGCTGCTGCCATGCAGGGCTGCGTGCTCGGTGCTTGGCGAGGCAGCGCTGTGTTGCTAGTACTCGCTGGCCCCTCCACTAAGCACACTCAGCATTAATCCCCTTCCTGCTTCTTTGGCTGCAGGGCTGGCTGGCAGCACGGGCAGGAAGCGCGGGGAGAACCACTCCCTCTCTGCTGGGAACTCCCCTTTCCCCCCCTGCTCCCAGGCTAATGCTGTGGGAGCCCCTCTCCCCCTCCTCCTTCCCCCCGGAGCGGCTGGCGGGATGCCAGGGACTCGGCGCAGACTTAAAACCTTTGAGGCTTAGAAGTGCTTAGAGCTGCCAGCAACATGTTGCATCCTGCCGGGGAGAGGTTGGCCTCCCCGGCGTTGGACGTCGGGGCGCTGCGTTTGATCAGCCTTTCCCATGCCTTGCTCTCTAAAACTGGGGTCTTCTTAAGTTCAGCTCAGCCAGTGTGCGCTGCTGGGCCCTCTCTCAAACCCATCCCACAGACTCCACACCAGCCCGGGCCTTGCTCTGGTTAACACGCTTCGTACAGTCTGTTCTGCTGCCTCTCTGCTGTTGGTGGGGAAAAAGCCATTGGTTCAGCTGGAAGTCCCATTTTAGCGTGACACAGATGGGCAATGCAAGTAAATGAAAGATGCGCCAGCAGACATGCCTGATCTGCCCGTCACTGCATCCATATGGGACACCGGCTTGCACTCAGATGTTAGGAAGCTGGCACTGCTTGCTTTTGAAGAGAGGCACGGTGCTGTGTGTAAACTGTAGTGATTGAAAAGAAAACATCTACTTTCACTGCTCAGAAGGTATAACAGGCTCAAACAGCCCTGCCCTTTTCTTTATGTGCTTAATGGTTCCAGCATAATAACCAGAAGGCAGTGTTTGGCCTGCAGTATTTTTCCTGCCCAGATGAAAGCTGTGTATGTCACTTAGCAGCAAGTAAGGATAAAATATACTGACTGGGTTTGATAGCTCCGAATGATCTTTTAATTGTGCTTTGTATTGCACTTACGTTTATAATGGCCCATGTAGTAACTAAAGAGTGTTTTCCTTCCATATCAGAATACTGGCAGCAATATTAGCTTTAATGGGAACTGCAAAGAAAATCCAGTCTGTAAACAATTGTGGAGGCTGTCGTTCTAAATTGTGTTTTTAGCTCTTCAAACCTTGATTAATAGGACACGGCACTGGTTCAGGATTCGTATGGATTCCAAATGGAGTTTATCATTCCAAATGGCGCACTACTTTGGAGTGGGCTTGCCTGCTTTTGGAGCTAGCACCATATGTATTCAGCACTAATTATCAGATGCACACAGTAACTTTGGCTGTGCCCACATTAACATTTCCTGCCACTGCTACCATGTAAACATCCTGTGGTTGTTGCCATGTGGAGCGCTCAGGCCATGGCCAACTTAGCCGCAGGTTTTTGCTTTAGTGGTTGAGAGGGACTGTGGCCTGTCTCCCCACAGTGTCCGGCAGGGCTTACAGTGAATGGAGATAGTGCACATGGAGAAGGTTGCTGTAATTGCTCAGTGCATGGACTGTACGGTGCCCAGTTGCTAGCTGATTGTAGGGCCCCTGCTTGCCCTGTCTTCAGTACATGTGGTCTGGAAAACACTCAGATCACCAGGCAGTTTGAGGTCCCACTGAAAAGAGGGATGCTGTGCCTGGATGCATAACATTGTCACAGCCTGCTGTTTCTCCTCTCTCTGCAGAGCCACTTGGGCAATGTCCTGGTTGATATGAAGCTCATCGATATCAAGGACACGTTGCCTGTGGGCTTCATCCCCATCCAGGAGACGGTTGACACACGTAAGTGTCTTGGTGCTGTCACCATTCCCCATTGGTCAGCAGCTGACTCTGCCCTGGCACCTGCCACTTGTGCCTGTTTGTGAACGGGGCCAGGGTGGAGTTCAACAGCTGCCTCTGGCCCTGGGAAGGGGCTCAGGCTGCCTTAACAAGCAGGAAATGATGACATGGTATCTTCTCTGACATTTTAATGCAGCTGCCCTGGCCACATTCTGCATATTCAGGTGCAGTGGGGACGGCTGTGCACATGGGCAGTACTCAGCTAGCATGGGGGCAGAACAGATGAAGGCAGCGCTAGGTGATGCCTGCCAGGCCACAGCTGCAGGCTGCGCTCACATCGCAAGCGAAGCTGTGACAGGGGATTTCACTCAAGGCCTCCCGTGTCCCACGTACAGACTGCACCCTCTGCTCCAGCTCTGGAGATAACAGGGCAGGTGGGTGCAGTGACCAGCAGGGCACCAGCACTGTGGTGCTGGCTCCTGCCATTTCATGCAGCTCTTTGCCTGAACAAAAGGCCCTTGGTGCCTCATGTCCCTGCCCTGTCAGAGCCAGGCAGTGCCTGGGAATGGCAGGCCCCTGAGAGCAGTGCAGGAGAGAAGCTTTTAAGGATGAGTCAAAATTCAACATTAGAAGCTGAGTGAGTCACTGCAGAAGTGCTGCTCTGGTTATCCCCCAGCACTTGTGTGGCTGGGCATGGCCTGCGGTCACTTCTGTGAACCATTCGCAGCCTGCTAGCCTCCTGGGGAGAGGAGGGATGCCTGAGGGTCCCACCAGGCACTGCTTCTTTCCCCCCAGCCTCCGCTCCCCATGGCAAAGGGGAGCATTCCCCCAGAGCTGGCTCTTGTTGGCAGACAGGCTCAGGCCTTGGCTCCAGCCAAAGGAAACCCCATGTTCAGGT